GCCTCAGCCTCCCAAGTAGCTGAGGCTACAGGCGCCCGCCACAGTGTCTGGCTATTTTTTAAAGACAGTCTTGTTCTGGCTCAGGCTGGTTTTGAACTTATGAGCTCAGGCATTCTACCCGCCTCAGCCTCCCAAGTGCTAGGATTACAGGCATGAGCCACCACACCCAGCCTACCAGATTTTTTTTTAAAAAAAAACACTGGGTCTTGCTGTGTCACCCAAGCTGGAGTACAGTGGCATAATCACAGCTCACTGTAAACAGGTTTCTCAGCTCAAGCAGTCCTTCCCCTTAACATGTGAGCCGCTATGCCTGGCCTCACCAGGTATTTTAGAGGTAGAATCAATAGGGGGATGGGAAAGAAGGGAGCAAAGAGGACTCTCTGGTGTGCAGCTTATGCAATGGTGAAGTTCCTGAGATTGCAAAGTAGAGAAATCCACTGGGCTATTGCAGAAGAAGGTGTGGGGCTCCAAAATAAAGTCAGGGCTATAAGATGGAATGGTCTGGGGCAGATTTGCAAGTCTTGGCAATGGATAGGACCACTGGGGAAGAGGAAGGACACAGTGTTTCCATGTTTTTGGTATCCTTCCTCTCAAATGATGTAGCTCCTAGGCACCATTTATGTTCTATGTTCTTTGCTCACAGCTTCAAGGTGCTAAGGGAGTCTGAGGGGTGCTGAGAGTCTGTCCCTGCCATCAAAGACCTTGTGGTCAGGAAAAGATCTCCCAAATGATTACAGCTCATGGCAGGAATATCAGAGAAGTAACACCCTGGTAGAGAGATGAGTGTTGTTTGTATGTATGTATGTATGTATGTATGAATTAATTAATGAATACTCATAGGCATTCTAAGACGGGAGGGAGAATGTGGTAAGGAAGGGAGAACACCTGTGAAGGTTTCTGGGCAGAGGTGGCATTGAAGATGTTCTTTGAGGGCGGCGCCTGTGGCTCAGAGGAGTAGAGTGCTGCCTCATGTGCCGAGGTGGCAGGTTCAGACCCAGCCTCGGCCAAAAACTGCAAAAAAAAAGATGTTCCTTGAAGGATGCATAGGATTTCTGGAGCTAGAGAAAAGCTGAAGAGGCCTGTTTTAAGCAAAAGCAAGGTCACAGGACAGGGCAGAGCAGAACCCAGTGTCCTGGGGCAGTGGGAACAGAGGGAAAAAGGAAAATTCGGACCAGTAGCTGTGGTTGGGAGACCTCCAGTGGCAGCTGTCTACAGGCTTGAGGCTCTGTCCTGCTCATCCTTATTCCAGTGTGGCTCCTCAGGACTTGTGCTTAGTAAGCCCTCAGCAGGTGTAGGCTGAACTGGCCCCTACTTATGCCAAGAAGGGTACCCTACTGTCCCCAACCCCATTTGGAGGGGATAACAAACAGGAAATCATAAGGCAAATGCCAGGTAGACAGTGGGTCCCAATACAGGGGGGCCTTTCCCCAAGACAATGTGCAGCTTCACCCCATTCCTAAAGGCTTCACAGGAAAGTCCTTAAGACTTCTGCCCATGGTGGGGCTCTTGGTCTGTGGGCTGGCTGAGATTTCCAGCAACCCAGAAGTCAAACTGGAGAGGGAAGAGCCTTTATTTCTTGCCTATCTAGGACTGAGTGGCCTCCAGTCTACCCTGAGAGACCCAACTGACTGACTATGGTCCGACTCCATGAAGAAGGTGGAGAAGGAAGGCACCACCCTAAAATGATTTAGAGAAGGGAACCACTTCCTCTTCCTGCAGACACTGCCCCCTACAAAGGGCAGTCACGGCCTGCACTGACACAGCTCCATGGGCACACAACCTGAGGAGGGACACAATGCATTGGCCCTGATCTGCCCAAGAGTCAATGTGTTTTTCCTGGTGGTTCCCTATATCCTGCCCTCCTCTTTTAAGATAAATTTCCCTTTAATTATCCTAATTTGAGTGTTTCTAATTGAGATGCTGATGGATACATCTCTGCACACTTTTCTTATGCTCCTAGAAATTTATTTATGTATATTTTGTCCAGAGGAGGATAGGCTTCCTTTCCTGGGTCCCCAACCCCAGTCCATGCATGGATCCTGCCCTGTGAGGGCTTATGCATTGTCTCCGCTGGGAGATAAAAGGTGAGGGACCAGAGATTTTCATTCAAAACCCCAAGTAATAGTCTTTTGGCTGACTCTACATTTTGGACTGCAAGAAAGGCACTGCTAGGGAGTACCCCCTCCCCCTGGGCTGTTCCTCCTATTGTCCAGGGAAAGAGTGGAAAAAGGGGAGAGAGGGAGGATGCACAGACTGCAAAGGGAAGGAATCAGCAGAGGAAAGAAGAGAAGTGCACACCCCCTCCTCTCTGTCTCCTGCAGGGCTCACCCAGACCCTTGGGCCATTCCCCAATCTCTAGACACACATAGCAAACATGTGGACTAGAAATCTGGAGCCACCGTTTTGGGGCACCCATTCCTGGCTCCTATTGATTGCTTCCAACTTCCCTTCTCCCACCCACAAATTGAAACAAAATAAGAATCAGAACTGTGGCTTTTACACTCTGTTCCTTCAGTGTCAGTCTGAAGATGGGGGGAGGGCACCCATTGAGTTCTGCAAACTCACCATGGGCTGCAGCGGGCAGATTTGGGGGTGGGAATGGATGTGAACAGATTGTATCCACAGCATCCAGGACAGGATGGAGATCTGGCCCAGGCCTCTTATCTCTCTTTCCTTCCAGCCTGGAGGATCCAAAAACTGAGCGGAGGAGGCACAGCTTGGGGTGAGGCGCCTTCCCTACGCCCTCTACTGGGGGAAGGCTAGAGGTTTTAAGACAAGGTAGGACCTCAGCAATGGAGGAGGGGGTTCAACATTGGCACTAACCCTCTACTTCCCATCCGCTCCCTACACCCTTGAGCATGCCCCACAATACTCTCCCAATCTGGA